ATATAATATACCTAATTTTTTCTAAGTTTTTAATCAAAAGCAACATAATAATTTTTCAGTTCATACTTTCTCTGAATATAATCTATCCATCTTCTCCATGTTGAGATAAATTTTTCCTGAAAATGATCCTTCAGGTACGCGGATATTTTTGCCATCTCTGCAAAATATGATACTTTCTGTCTCCAATCATCCATAGTTGATAATATCTTTTTTTTCCAATTTTGAGCAACTAATGTCCTTGCTGCTGTTATACAATACAACATCAGTTTCATTTCTTCCAGATCCAAATTATCCATAATACCCAATAGAAATAACTGCGGTGTAAATTTTATCTTTTTCTTAAAAATCTGTTGAATATTCCACCAAATCTTAATCCAGAAAGCTTTAACATCCCTACATGTCCCCTTTGATGGGAGGCGAGTGCAGAGATCTAGTACCTAACGGAAACCGTGAGCACCTACGGCAGACCAAAGGGGGGGATAACCCGGGTGACACGGGTACGGGGAGTCTCAAGAGAGAGGTTGGAGAAAGATGGATTGGGGGGATGACATACACACCAATGCCACTCACACGAGGGGAGAGGGAAGGATGGAGGAGGTACAGCGAGGAGTAGCGCCCGACTTGCGATCTAGTAGGGCGGGAGGAGTCGATTGGAGCTCGAGCGAGACGCACAGTGGAGGAGGGGGAAGAGGGGGAAGAGCGAGTGGACCACGTATGAGAGTTCTTAGGGAAGAGAGTAATGTGGAGGAGGGTGAGGAGAACACGGAGACGGTGATCACCCAAAAAGGGGGGGAGAGGACCCAGAGTAGCCCAAAAATTGGTGGCGAGGGGATGAGTGGTATTACATGCATAAGAAAGAGGAACAGGAAAGGGTTTGATACTGATGTCAAGGATACATCCAGAGTACACCTCAATCAGCTGGGACCAATGACGAGGTCCAAGAGCCGGATGCTAATGCTGGTTAATTCTATATAAGTTGTTCCCATTATCTAGCCTTAAGCCCTGACGATGTCAGAAGTTTCCGATGAAAGCTCAGTATTTATTAATTTTTTTCTAGTTTGAATTTTCCTGGTGGTCGTGATTGATTTATCGTATGATATGGATATACCCAGGAATCACATTTTTACTGACATTATTAATTATATATATATATATTTAAAAGACAACAAAGTGATCACCAGGAAGTATAAAACAATACAGTTTTAATAAATAAAACCAAGCTTTCGATGGCCTAAAACTGCCATCATCGTCAGGGTATAATTAGGATGCTGGGAGAGCTTGCTTATAAATACAGTCATGTCTGCGCACAGCTCCTAGATCTCGTGACAGGTCCCGGCCGGCCAATCCTGGCCTCATCTGCAAACTGAGTTAATTCTTCCTTACCTCCTTTACCTACATGTGTGTTGCCGCCCTCCTCCCTCCTTTTTTGTGTCCGTATATATGGGACAGAGAACTTTTATCTAGAGATATTTTATTTTCAGATGGACTTTCAGATAAGTGATGTGCCAAGCCATGCATGGATGCTCTGTATGTTGTGCCATACAATCTTTGTTATCCTTTCTTCCACCTATTACTTGTTTTTAATAACCATTTGAGATCTCTCATTTCATCCAAATGTTTAAGTCTATAATTTGTTTGTATTTAAATTATTTATTCCTTAATTTAAAGATGCACAGTGCTTCAAAATGTCTTTACAATACATAAATGTATAGCAATAATGACAATATATAGTAATAACAGTAACATTGCAGTTTTACCAAATATGAAATAAATTGGGCTGCAGCCTTTGCTGAAGAATTCTTAATTTATTTTAAAACCTATATACCAGTTTTCTTCAACCAAGGGTCCTCAACAAAACAGAATTAAGTAATTGTTAATTTTTATTTCAGTAAGGAATAACCTTACTGAATACAAGAATCCTTACGATTCTTGCATTAGGAAAAAAATGTTTAATTTATGTGATTATTGTGTTTTCATTCTTATATGTGCAAGAATCAACTAATTACAAATATTTTCTCTTTTCTTGTTTATTTAGGAAAAGAAGAATACATTGCAACATTCAAAGGATCAGAGTATTTCTGCTATGACCTCTCACAGAATCCTATTCAAAGCAGCAGTGATGAAATAACTCTGTCCTTTAAAACTCTACAGAGGAATGGACTAATGCTTCACACTGGGAAATCAGCTGATTATGTCAACCTTGCCCTGAAAAATGGAGCTGTCTCCTTAGTTATTAATTTGGGCTCAGGGGCCTTTGAAGCACTGGTGGAACCTGTGAATGGGAAATTTAATGACAATGCCTGGCATGATGTGAAAGTAACCAGGAATCTGCGTCAGGTAACAGTACAATGGTTACAGCAATAACTGACTTTGCTTCTGCTACAGCTAAGTGTTTAGTGATCTTGCAGTTAGAGTAACATGCAGCTGAGTGTTTAACAGACCTCTGAACCCTAAGGTTCACCATGTTATATAGAGATGTATAATTCTTTTTATACATGAGCACAGGCACACCTAGAAAGTAATTTTTAACCAGGATTGCTCTGAACAATTATGCAAGCACAGCCAGATGCTTAAAGTTGTTTATGTGTGAGAGGCAGGTGGACTGGGAAGAGTAGATCATTTTTATTAAGAAGATTAGACACCTGGATAATCCATTCTTTCCCAGGCTATTATTTCATACTTGTAATTTTCCAGAAGCTCCTTTTTTATATTGCTAAAACAAAGCTGAATGTTTCTTTATTTTTCTTTTTATCTACTGGGTCTCTCAACTATATTTTAAGAAATCGAAAACTGATTATAAAGATGGAATAAATACCTAAAATACATTTATAACAGACAATTTCCTCAAAGAAACATGTCCTGCCAATGAACTTATGCTTAGCATTTATATCCTTAGGTTGCACTTCTGTATATAAGTTACTGATGCAAGAATTCCAATGAAATTGATGAGAGTTATCCATGCAAAAATGGTGGTAGGATCATATCCTAAATAGTTCGTTCTATTCTGTTTCATTCAAATAGTTGTGAACAATTTTGCTTTAATCGTCAAGGTAAAAATCATTGTGATATTTTAGTGGTTATGCTTGCTTTCAGAACAAACTTTTGCTTTTCTGTAAAACCAAATTTAGTGAGAGGGAACTACATTAATAGTGAGATGCTAATATCAGGTGAATCTATGACTGAAATGTGATACAGACAGTAAAGCCTAAATGTAAACCGTTCAATTCTCCATTGTGGTAACAATATATCACACTTAACTCTGTGTGGGATTTGACTCTGTGAGACCAGTTACTACCACTTACCGGGAAGCTTCTGCTGGCTTTGGACAATTTGCTGATTTTCAAACCAATGTAGACATCTCTTTTATGTACAGGTCTGTCAGGGAGGTTGTAGCCAGCTCTGAGCCTTCTTCTATGCAATTCAAAAGCTGTGTAAAAATGTTTCTAAGGATGACCCCTGTGCAGGATGCTAAACATGTTATTAGAAGAAACATGTGATATACATTTTTACAAGCTCTGTGATGAGCACAGAGAACAGAACACAACAGAACAGAGCAGAACAGAACAGAACAGAACAGAATAGAGCTGGAAGGGACCTTGGAGGTCTTCTAGTCCAGCTCCCTATACCTATGCCATTTCAAACAAGTATTGTTAGTGGTACTTCCAGTGTTACCAAAAAGCTGTGAGACAGAGTGCAGAGTGTATAGCAGTGGTAAAGAAATAACATAAATATAAATATGTTTAAGATATGAATATATAGTAATTGTAGAT